AATTATCATTATCATGTAGACTTCAGGCATGTATACAACAACGTTTAAGAGATCACGAAAGAGTCTGCTTCAATAGTGTAATACACCCTGACTGCCATTTGGCTAAGCCCCGCCCTTCTTCCTAATGTTCTTCTGATTGGTCAGTTGTTAAGTTTTTGCAAAACATGCGCACATGATGCGTTGGACGGAATGGATGAAACCCGTACACTACAATATTTCAATTCAATGTTTTATTCTTCAAGCAACATTCATCATGCCATGAATGTTCGTAATGATTAGTATAATAATAGGCATAATAATAATAATAATAATAATAATATAATAATAATAATAATAATAATAATAATAATAATAATATAATAATAATAATAATAATAATAATAATAATAATAATAATAATAATAATAATAATAATGGAAATATAGACCTATAAAATACAATAAATTGCATTTTCTAATTTCATTAATTAGATACCAAACTATAAAAGTACGGTAATTTTATTCTAAATATATAATTACGATTATGTTGAATTGAAACAGTTATGGTATTGAAGTTCATAATTTCCAATAACGAATGGTTTTTAAAACCTCTATATTCCTAATAGATAATTCTTACTGTATATTATGCCATTTTTTCATTGTGTAAAGCTAGTGTTCATGCGATCTGTATCGTACTACATAGAGCAACAAATGATATGTTCATCTGAGCAAATTCCAAACACTTGTCTTGACGTCTTTGCTTACTCAATTCGATTTCAAACAATTAAATCAATCTTATTTTGTATTCATCTTATCTTTTAGGCCTACTGTTTCCTTATTTCAATTATAATTTAGGTGAAAACCTCCCCACACCAGAGACAGGAAATCACGGGCTTCATAATAGCAGACATTTTTTAAGGGATGTGGCTGCATAAAATGGATTTTTTTGGCTGTATGGTATTGTTTAATATGATTGACTGTAAGCACTCTTGAGTCGGCTTGCCGGCATAGAGCACTTTATGATAAGTGTCACATATTTTTATTGTTATTGTTGTTATTATTATTATTATTATTATTATTATTATTATTATTATTATTATTATTATTATTATTATTATAAATAGGCCTATCATATTATTATTATTATTATTATTATTATTATTATTATTATTATTATTATTATTTGTATTCAATCAAGACTCTCTCCAAAAATATCTACAGAACTACTTGCACATCTACAATCATCAAAAATGCAAGTACATCCTTTGTTAGTTCATATCGTATACCATAAACCCAGTAAAGGTAAGAGGGTGAGCGAGACTACCATGGACTTGTCTACCTTCGTTCGTCAGCCAGACTTCATCGCTGACATTCAGTTGAACTGTTGCTCCAGAACTTAACTGATCATGACCACTAGTGCTAGTACGATATACGGTTGTGATATCTCGCCCATTTAACTTCATTTTAACATACGGAGCATGACCAGTTTGCGACAAAAAACTAAACATGAAGTAATAGAAACCTGAAATTCTACATGTAAACTTTCCGGTATTCTTATCGAAGTCTTCTCCGATATTAATCTCCATTGACGTGAATAGAATGATCGATTCTGAAGTGAGTACGTAAGTGGTGCGTTCTGCAGTAAACGCAGATTTACGGACTTCCGGTGATTCGCCCTTTTCTCCTTTTGATCCATTGTTCCCTTGTAGTCCTTGTGGTCCTATTTGTCCAAGCGGGCCTTGTTTACCTGGAGATCCTTCGTTTCCTTTATTACCTTTTGAACCTTCATTTCCCGGTTCTCCTTTTTTGCCTCCATCTCCTTTTTCACCTCGGACAAACTCACCTCTGTCACCCTTACTACCAGATGGTCCAGCAGGACCCAACCCTCCAGATGTTCCTGGAACTCCAGGAATCCCAGGTTGCCCAGGCGGCCCGTGGCAGCACATATTACAAGTTTCATGGACGGTTTTTTCAGGTGTTGTAGTCGTAGACAAGCTTTCTGGTAGGCAAGTTAATAGACTGATCAAACAAAGTAAGGGTGTACATGATGTCAAAGACGGATTCATTTGTATTCTAAATATAAAAAAAACGAAAGAATTCTGTTCATTATTTGGAAATTACAACCCGGTTGGTTAAATCTCTCCATGCAAAGTAAATTTTAAAATGAATTGAAATAAAATATTTTTTTCTTTTTTGATGTACTTGTTTTTTTATCTTTGCTGTTTGATTTTTTTAATGGTTTTAATTGTTAACGTAATTCGCAATTCAGCCTTTTATGTTTTATGTCTTAATTTGAATTTTGAATTTTGAATAAATATACCATTTTGAAAAAAAAAGTGGACACATTCTCTTTTTACGCTACCACACCCACCACAATTTATAATTGTCAAATAATTTATTAACACATAATTATATTTATATAG